TTCTTAATTTAGTATTTTGAAATTTGATTACTGATTGATTATATGATATTAAAAATCACAAAGTTGAAAATTACATAGTTTAATTAATTTTACAATTTGTAAAATTATAGGTGTTCTTGATTATATTGATATTTACCAAAGTCTAAAACACTTCCGGATAAACAACGCTTTTTTAAGAGCTTGGTTTAATAATCCAAATGCAGCCTGTAACATTAGAAATATTTTTTGGGAGGCCGGCGCTATCTTTAATTTGTGTAATGCTAGTCTACTTATCTTGCAAATCATTAAATATCTAGTTCAAAATTGTAATTATAACCATATAGTGCTTTTCTTAGCGATCTACTTTCTCAATACATTAAATCAATTTGGTGCTTCTTTACTGACACTGTAAATAATATTATACTCATGTCTGAAGAAGAGATTTCTAACGACACTGAAGTTCTCGATGACGAACCTCGAAGTATCCTCCTTGGTCTCATCTCTCAACTTCGCAAAGGCATGGATTTACACCGGGTTACCTTACCAACCTTTGTTCTTGAACCGAGGAGCATGTTGGAAAGAATTACTGATTTCATGAGTCACCCGGAGCTGATTTTGAGGTTGGTCTGTTAGGCAAACTTTTAGTTAACTAGTGTCTATCTTTTTTTTTGAGCCGAGGTTCACGATTTGGGTGAAACTTGATAAATAACTAGTGCATATTTCTCTATTAGTCTTTTATTCTAATCGATTTAACATAATGGACAAGAAATAAAATTAATATTAATACAATTATTTTTCTTAATCTAGGATATCAAGACAAGAAGATCCCGTTATAAGATTTGTCAGTGTAGTGCGGTATTACTTATCTGGGTGGCATATCAAGCCAAAGGTTATTATCGCCTCAAGTTATACACAGTTACCACGTTAAATTTCTTTAACTTTATTTTGTTTATTCGTTTAGGGCGTTAAAAAACCATATAATCCTGTGTTAGGTGAACATTTTCGTGCTCGATGGCAATTTCGGGACAAGACCGAAGCTTATTTTGTCTCAGAACAAGTTTCGCATCATCCACCAATTTCCGCTTATTATTACGCAAGTCCTGAAAATAATCTGATAATATCTGGTGACATACGACCTAAATCAAAATTTTTGGGAAATAGCGCCGCAACTCTGATGCAAGGCGAATCTAAAATCTATTTCACCAATCGTCCAGGAGAAGTCTATCGCATTGCAATGCCGAATGTTTATGCACGTGGAATTTTGTTTGGGAGAATGGTCATGGAATTGGGTGATAACTCGACAGTTCGGTGTGAGAAAAATGATCTAATTTGTGAATTAGAGTTTCGAACAAAGGTAGTTTACTTATATATTCAGCATATTTTTTTTACTGTATGACTAAATGTTCTGATTTTCTAGGGATTTTTCACTGGCTCTTATAATTCGATTTATGGAAAGATAAAGAGGGAATCTACCGGTGAAATTCTCTATGAAATAACTGGAAAATGGATAGATATTATGTACATTAAAGATGTTAAGGTAAAACGTCAAAGTGAATTTATAGTATTATTTTTTGGTTTC